CAACTGCTTGCCCTCCATGCTTGGTTAGGAAAATTGGAATAGGGGAGGGAGACAAATAATAGATAAAACTTCTTAGCTGCTATCGCTAAAGAAATAGAATGGATAAATAGATCCATCAGACACGTATCGTGCCACTAGACAGCAAAGTCCATTTGTTAAAAACTGGGTAGGCGGGAGGATTTATCTCCCATTTTAAGCTGCTAATATAGAAGGGAAACATGTTTTCCTTTATCTCTTGCAGGGGAGGGAGAAAACCCCAAGACCACTGATGCAGAATTTTTAACTCGATTTGATGGACTTTCCTTCACTAAGGTGGAAAAAGTAGTCTCTGTCTTGAAGTTTACCCAGCCTTTTGGAATGGTGTGGGCTCTCCCCTGATGAAGGTTGTGGGATCCGGAAGCCCTGTGAAAAGGTCTTCTCTGGGGTTCTGTCCCACAAATTCCTGACACAAAGGCCATTTCAGAGCCTTTGCTTCTAACACAGAGGGACCAGAGAACAGCATCCGAGAAGCTTTTACTAGGAAGCTCCTATGTGCTGACACTGTGCTAGGTACAAAGGCTACAAAGGTAAAGATGAGCTTCCACTTGCTCTGCACGAAGTCACTAGGTGGGGAGAGAGACAAGCTACAGTTATAGCCTGTGGAAAGTGCTGGAATACAGAGCCATACGAAGGAGTAGCGCCTGCTGAAGTGTGGGCTAATGGAAGGGGTCAGGGTTGACACCTAACCTTCTCCCTGAAGAGTCCTGGCAAGGAGGTTGGAGTGGAGGGAGCTGGCAGGCAGGGTGCTTCTGGGTAGTGTGTGCAAAGGTCTGGAGATGACAAAAAGCCTGATCTGTTTGAGGAGCTAAATTGAGCATCATTCATTCAACAACTCTTTGTTGACCCTGTATTAAGGCCAAATACTATTCTAGGCACAAAGGGTCTAGCCATGAAAAAGTTTGCATCTTAATGGAAGGAGGCATACCAAGAAAAATAGTAGACTGAATGAATCTATTTAGTAATAGTGCTAAGTGCCATAAAAAATAAAAATAAATGAGGGTAAATGGCCCTTGGAGAGGTAATATTTGAGCAGAGACTTCAGTGAAACAAGAGTGCGAATATTTCAGTGAAACAAGGGCATGAGTCTTGGATGAGCTGATTTAGGGGATGAGCATTTCGGGGAGAGGGAATAGCAGATGCAAAGGTCCTGGGACATGAGAGAGCTTGCATGTGTGAGGGACCACAAACAGGCTTTCATGACTAGACCAACATGATTGAGAGAAGGAGTGACTAGAAGGAAATGAAGTCAGAGAGCCAAAAGTTAGTCATATAGGGCTTTGTACATCCAATTAGGGGTAACAGATTTCTTCTAATGTTTTTATTTTTGAGAGAGGGAGAGAGATACACAGTACAAGTGGGGAGGGGCAGAGAGAGAGGAAGACACAGAATCTGAGGCAGGATTCAGGCTCTGAGCTGTCAGCACAAAGCCCGACGTGGGGCTCAAACCCACAAACTGTTAGATCATGACATGAGCCGATGTAGGACACTTAACTGACTGAGCCTTCCAGGTGCCCTGGGACAATAGATTTTTAGTACAAGTGTCTCATAGATTTTGAAAAAGGAGATGACGATGGTATATTGGCATCAGATAATAGAGAACCTTGCGAATCCAGTTAAAAATGCTTGGGCTTTATTACAATGGTTGTGGGGTGTTGAACCACCAGAAACACTGGAGGGGAGCTGAAAAATGGCCATCTGTCGAAATTTCCCCAGGACCAAGCACCAGCTGCCCTTGGGAAAGGCTCCGTGGGCAAACCAAAGGTCTGAGAAGGACCAGCACTCAAATCAAGGAGCTGAGCAGTAATCACCTCCCCCACCAACCCACCTCATGAGTTCCCACCCCTGTGGCTTTGTTGCATGCTATTTCCTCTGTGTTATCCTGCCCCTTATTGGCCTTTCTTTGCTTGTCTAGTCTAATCCTAACTCATTTCCTAGGCTCCACTGGCCATCCTTTCCTCCTCTAGGCTGTCTTCATTGCTCCCCCAGCTGGGCTAGCCCCCACAGCCCTCTGGGCTTCCTGCTGGCGTCGGACCTAGTGCCATCACTGGCTTCCTGCACCAGTTCGGCATTCTTGCAGGGCCGGGACCACATCTGACTCATTTCTGTATCTGCCAGGCATGGGGCCTGGCACAAGAGCTCACCAGGGAGCTTCGCCCATTTCCCAAGCGCAGGGGTCGCAGCCCTGATGGTCTTCATGGAAGAGAGATGTCCTTCCGCTAACGCACATCACGCCCCCTTCCTGCCATGGCTCCTGAAAGCTTCCTTCTGCCATCTCTCCTTTCTGCGGCGTGGTTTCTGAAGCCTACCCTTTGTGTCTGTCCGTCCTCTTCACCCTAAAGGCATATAGTTCAGAAGAGATTCATTGAGGGAACTCTTTAGATCTTCCTCTATCTCAAAGAAGAGAAAGAGCCGCCCCTCCTTATTGCTTTTCATTCTGTCATTAATTTACTTTCCAAAGACACCTTGTCAAGCTGAAGATTATATCTTTAAGCCGTGTTTTTACATCCGCTCCCTTTAAAGCCTTAGATTACGGGTCTCCTGAAAGGACCTGAGGGAGAATACATGTGATAAGCTTTGTGTCCTTTGCTTGGCAAGCGCTAGGCATTCTTAAAGAGGGAAAGGCACTGATCTGGGGGAGGGTCGCTGCTTCTGAAACGGCCCCTGCCTTTGTATTGTGATTTCTGACACCGCTGGGGATACAGCATCCTCGCAGGAGCAAGGCAGATGCTGGCCATGGTTCTCTGGCTCTGGTGACCAAAGACGGTGTCGCTCAACTGGTGGTTTTGGCCCACAGGGGATCCAGGCAGTTGCTCAACCCCTGGGTTCTCATCTCCCACCTGGGTGACTACATTTACCCCCTAAGGCGCTTCCTCACCTCTTCCATGTGCTCCCACACCATCCTACAAGTCCGTGCACTGGCACACAGCATAGAGCAAAGGTGGGGAGCATGTACCACATTCAAACCTTGGCTGACCATGAAGCTCAGCCTTGCCAAGACTCAATTTCCTTAGCTCTGAAATGGGACTCCTAAAACAAATCTGAAGAGGTTCTTGATAAGGCTGAACGAGATAGCACAGATAAACCCTCTGGTGGCTGCCTTTTTGTTAGATGCCTGTTCCCATGAACATGTGATGACTCCTTGATGCTCAAGGATTCTCAGCCTTGGCTACTTTCTTCTTTCTTTTTTTGTAAATTGAAATATAGTCGATAACAGCTTAAAAACTACTGCTGTCTGGCTCATATCTCCAGACATTTGAATTTAATGGATCTAGGGTATTGCCTCTGGATAGCAAGATTTTTTAAACTCCCCAACTGAAAATTACAGCTTTCAGACCAAGTTTGAATGTCGTCTGTAAATTGCCCCCTCGGCCTCTGTCAGGTGCTAGTGTGTAAGTACCACTGCCTGGTAAGTAATGAATGGAAATTAATTACTAATGTAAATTAACTTGAAAAGGAAAAAGCAAAGTAATGACAGGATGAGGAGCAGGAAAGCAGTTGTCTTCTTTCAGATGGAGGATCTGGTGACTTCGGAAATGAAATTGCTAAGCAATAACTTTCAAAGAATAATAGTAACAATAATAATAAGGGTGATGCTATTAATTCCATATGTGACAGGAACTATGCTGGGGTTTTTTTTAATTTTTTTTTTTTTTTTTTGAGAGACAGAGACACAGCATGAGCAGGGGAGGGGCAGAGAGAGACGGAGGCACAGAATCCGAAACAGGCTCCAGGCTCTGAGCTGCTGCCTGCCCGGAGCCCGACGCGGTGCTTGAACTCATAAATGGTGAGATCATGACCTGAGCTGAAGCTGGACGCTTAACTGATGGACGCTTAACCAACTGAGCCACCCAGGCACCCCGGCACTGTGCTGCTTTATAGGACGTATTTATCTTCACTTTCTTCCCCACTCTCTATTCCCAACACATGTGCACACACCCCCAAGGTTCTTTCTCACCTTTAAATTGTATTACATGCTGACCTTATGTCTTAAAGACCTCCTCCCTCTTTGCCTTGTTCAGAAGTTCTTCAAGGTCTGGGTCAAGCCTCATTCCATATGTACAAAACACACCAGGGAACATAAATTTCTGTCCCATCTGGCCTCCTTTGGTACTTCCTTTGGCATTAACTCAGCAGTTAATTCTCTATGTTCCTAAAGTCCCTTCTAATTGTTTCATGCATATATGTCTTATTATTACTCTAAAAAGATGGAGGGTTCTGGAAAGATAGAGAGCACCAGGGCATACCAACCAACGGATGTTTTTTGTCCCTACTGGAAAGTGCAGATTCCATTGCCAAGGAGCCACCCATCCCTAGGAGAAACTTAGAAGTAAACAGAAAAGTCAGTGCAACACAACACATTCTCTATTTGAGACATGACTGGAGAACGATGGGGATACGGAGGCAGGCCCTGTCATTGGCTCTCCCACAGGTGGTCAGGGAAGGTGCACTGATCAGCATTGGTTGGCTCCTCCAGCTCCGTTATCCAGTCTGGGGAGCTGACCAATAGGGACCACATTTTTGAACTGATTCCTGAGTTCAGTCCCTCACTTGATCTTTGTTAGGTCCCTCCCAACTCAAGGCACAGCACTGGCCTCTGGGAATACACTGCTGATCCAAACAAACCTAATCGCTGCCCTCACAATTGGCATCTCAGGGGAGACAGGTCATGGTCACAGGAGATATGGCAGCCAATGTACACTTACTGATTGTGAAAAACACCCTGAAGAAGAGGATAGAATGCCATGAGAAGATAACTGGGGAAATGTGTTGTTTGTGGTAAGAACCTAAACAAAAGAGATTGAGGGAATGAAAGAAAATGATGTTGAATCCAGATGAAGCAAAATTGAAGGAACTCAAGTCAGTCTTCATTCTTTTCTCATTATTTCAGTGTATCTGCTTCTTCTACCACCTAGTAATGGTTCTGTGAATGAACAAACATTGTGATCAAAGAACTGAGACCATTCTCATCATATTTTGTTTTATTGGCCATTGATCTGCTTGCCTCTTACCTCTAACATCCTATACGTCCCTCTAAGGCATGGAATGAAATCTCTCCCTCTCCCTCCCTCTCTCTCTCTCTCTCTTTCAGATGATCGGAAGTGCTATCAGCGGGACTGAGCCCCTAGTTAACGATCAGCACCCAGTTGTTGAATGACTGCGTCTTGTGGGTAATAGGACAGTTGGTTGTAGACGGCACAGGCTGGTCCTCTACTCCTGGAAGTTGGCAGGCCAAAGAAAAAGTCCATGTCGATTTGCCTTTTCCCTCAGCAGAAAGAAGTCTTTATCCAGGGGTGGGTTCAGGGGGTGACATCCACTGCCTCTGTGCTCAGAGGCCCTCAGCAAGCCTGGGTCTGCACTTTCCACCCTGGACATGAGTTGCCTCCATTCTGGGGTGCAGGGTTGTTGCACTCTCTCCTCCTTTCCTGGGTGCCCGCTCTGCAAGCAGACCAGGAGCTCCAGCAGCTCCAGTGACCATCTGCCTTGGCTCCTGCACAGATAATTTCCCCAGGGAGGGGGATGTTAGCATATAAGTAGCAGCTCGGATCATAAGGAGGGAGGCCCATCCCGTTGCCCAAGAATGGTCTGCAATCCCTCCTTGGGGAAATTCCTGGTGTAGCCAACCAAGACCTATGTGCTTGCTGCCTTGCACTTAATTTGAAACTCCGGATGGAGTGAGACTCTCTTCTGAGAGCCCATCTCATGAAATTGGAATCCACAGTTCAGTGGAAGATAGATAGCAGAGTAAGACAGGAAGACACGCTCCTCTGGAAGAATGACGCGGAGCCACTGGAGGGCGTGAAGAGCAGGGAGCATGACCCAGCCAAGGAGTCACAGACAAGGGCCAGCCTGACAGCCCTATGGAGAGGCTTGAGAGCTTTTGACTGAGGGTTTGCAAATCAGAGGCCCTCAGACTCTGATGATGGGGCCACGGTGGGTGACAGAGTCTGCACAGAGCATCAGGGCACAGGCACTGATCGAGGGTTGCCTCTGGAAGTCCGGCTCATGCAATCCCCTTGCCTGGGGCTGCTGCCTCCTACTGGCTCTGTGCCTTTGTGCAGACCCTCTCTCAGCCTGAGTTCTTACCTCTGTAAATGAAAAGGATGGACTAATCCACTGGAGTTTTTCCAGCACTTTTTTCATTACTGCTTTTTTCTCCCATAAATGAAACCTTATATGAACCCCAATATGAAAGTAGAGCTGTTTTATTTGAAGCCGAGGTGTCTATCTGGTTTGCCCTGCTCCTCTGGAACAACCCCTAAGATTGCAAGTTTCTTCAGATCCCAGTGTGAGTTATCATTGGCTTAGATTATCTTCAGGTCCCTTCCAGCTCTGTAATTATACTCCCTGGTGGGACAGCCACAGCAGGCTCCCCTGTCTCTGTTTTCCTACCTCTTTGACTTGGTCCCCACAGGCAAAAGTTTGCTGGGAAAATACGTAGGGACCAATGTCAGTGGGTCTCCATGGTGGCTGACTTCCCACTCTTAGATTTCCTTACCAAATTAATCTTTGTCAGGCTGAATGTTAAATCTGTTGTCGCCAAGGCTACCTGATGTCTACACAGTGCTTGAAACAAGGTTAATGGGTTACCTGTGAGTTGCCTGCAATTAACTGAATGTTAATCTTGCAGGAGAAATGGGCTCTGAGGAGGGGGACCCATCTTCTCTGCCCTGCCACTACCCCCAGGTCAGTGGCATCATGCCCCTCCTTCTCCAGTGCCCATTGTCTGTACATATGACTCAGCATGGCTGCAACTGAGCCTGGCATTGGACCACTGAAGAGGTATGTTTAGGTAATCCACACTCCCTCTCTATCTCTGTGATCCTATACAGGAATGCAAGGGATCCAAATAAGTCACTCGTTCTGGGGGCCCATGCCATAATTGTGATTACTCAGGCAATGCTCATGTTTGGCCCTTTAAGCCAGGTCAGGTTGATAACCATTGACTGGGACACACCTTCTCGCACCACTCTCCAAAATGATAGTGTAATCATCTCAAACTCTCTGCCCTCATTTCTGAAACTTCCTGACTCATAGTATGTAGATCAGTAGAATGTAACAATTAAGAACTTGAGTCCTAGGTAGGATGGGTCCAAACCCCTGGGTCCAAATCCTGGTTCTCACACTCCCCAGCTGGGTGATTTTGAGCAATGTTACCTTCCTCCTACCCCAATTTCCTCATCTGTAAATTGGAGCTAATAACAGTATTTCTAACATTCTTGGGGGGAAGAGATGAATTCATGCACATGACTTGTTGAGATAGTGCCTGGCAAAGAATAAGAATTAGTTATTCTTTACTGACCTTTGGTTCCCTCTGGAAAAGCTGCCTGGTCAATGAGGCAAATGAGGGCTGAAACCCCGTCTACACTCTGAAATCCTTGGGCCCTGGAGCTGGTCTGTATCAGCCCTGAGAAGTTTCTTTCTTTCTCCCAATTTACCCATCTATCAGGAAATGCCTTTCTTTCAGTTTAGATGAGAAAACTGTGCCAGTCTTTGCCCTGGTAATTGTCTACTTGTTTTTTATTCCCTGCATCTTCCTTTTTAAGGACCCTGGAATTCACTCACCATCTTGGCTCACCCCTGTCAGAATTCCTCCTACAGGGTACAAAGCAGTTAGTCAGGATTTAATTTGCACTCCCTTCAGCCCACAGAGGAGGGATTTAGACAAGCACCAAACCCAGATAGATCCTCTGCCAATAGAGTGATCTCCTTCTCTTACTTACTATAATAGAGCCTGCCACATGGGGTAGCTCATTTAACATCAACATGTCCTGTGATGAAGGTACTGATATTATCCCTCAGTTTACAGGGGGTTCTCACAGGAAAACTGGCAACATTGGCCTTCAAAGGCCTATCTGCCACCAGAGCTCTGCCGTCTTCCTTTCCATTGAAAGCTACAGTGCCAGTGAGTCCATTATAACCCACCGTCAGCTCATACTCCATCCACCATTGGGCATCAACAGTTTGTTTTAAGAGTAGTACTACCTTAGATAGACCTATCCAGACTTCCTTTTTTTTTTTCCTTTTCTTTACATCATCTTCATTGCAGTTGCCAGTTGAGATTGCTTTATACATTGATTTGGTAGCCCATGTGTTTTTGCCATCATTTCATGTATAAGTAGCTTTGTATGTGCATGTGCAGAAAATTGAAGGCTTAAGGATTTGGGCGTGTATAGAGATTCTTGAAGCTCAAAGGAAACTTAAGTGAGAAAGATGAACCCCAGAAGAAAGAAATGCCTAACCTGTGTCTCATGGGAAGTTAGTGAAGTAGTTGGGCCTCACGTCCAGGTCTTCAGACTTCTTTCTTTAAGGGATATGGATTTCTCATCTTTGTTTCAGAACCTTCATCCCTGGTACCAGTGAGTTCATGCTGTACCACTATACATTTAAACCTTACTTGCCCCAGCCCTTTTGATTTTAGTCATAAATCTTTGCACTGTAACAACAACTACTTAACTCTTACAGTGACCCCCTCCCACACCAAGATATGTTCAAGTCCAAATGTCCATTACCTTGTAAGTATGACCTTATCTTCAAGTAGGGTCTTTGCAGATTAAGTCAGGTTAAAGTGAGATCATAAGGGATTAGGGTAGGTCCTAATCCAATGACTAGTTTTATTAGAAGAAGAGAAAATAGATGTAGAGTAGAGAATACCATGTGAAGACAGGCAGAGATGGGAATGATATATCTCTAAGCCAAGGAATGCCAGGGATTAACAGCAACCTTTAGATGCTGGGAGAAAGGCATAGGACAGATCCACCTTCTGGAGCCTCCAGAAGAAACCAACCCGGCCAATACACCTGAATTCTGAACTTCTAACTTCCAGAAATGTGGGACAATACATTTCTGTTGCTTTAAGCCCCCCAACTTGTGGTAATATGTTCTGGCAACCCTAGGAAACTGATATATCCCTCCTGAAATGAATTGTCCTGTCCATATACACCTTGGCAAAACAAAACAAAATAAAAAACAGAAATAGTTCTCATCTGAGAGAGGGTCTTGATAGCCGGTAGAAAGCGTAAGAAGCATTGAAGGGAGAAGGAGGAGTCAGCCATAAAGCTTAGAGTGCTTGTTCCCAGAGTAGTGGGCAAAAGGACACAGAGAGGGGCGGCTGGGAACCCCAATGGTCCCTTCCGCACTGGCCCCTCTGAGCTGGGTCAGGCTTGAATCTGAGTGAGGGTACATGAGTCTTACCCTTCTGCTCCATTTGCTCACAGGCAAGGCCCTCACGACCCAGGGGGCACTGACACTCGCACCTCGTGCCCTTGAGGACAGGCTCCCCGTTGTTGAAGCACGGTCCACAGCGACAGCTGTTGAATTCCATCAGGTACTGGTCCAAGGCCCGCCGCAGGTTTTGGCGTTTAGCCTCCAGGGGCCCTAGGTTCGTGTGCCGCAGCACCTCATGGATGGGCTGCATCTATGGGTTCAAAAAGAATAGAGAGCCCTTCCCTGCACTTCCAGCTACTCAGGGCCCACACACTGGCCATCAGGCCTCCCCAGCCCTGCTGCATGTGAGGCACAGAACTAGAACTCTATCCCACTGCATTGGATCCTCAACAGCCACTATCCAAAGCAGGTACTAAACTCCAGAGACCCCAAGTGTTTGAGGGACTACCTCAGGATCACACAGTTAAGTGCAGGAGCCACTCTTAACATGGGCCTCCTTAACTCTGAAACCTGTGTTCTCCCAGTCGCAGGAGAAGAAGAGAACTCAGCAGCTATGTACGCCAACTCATCTGCCCTCTCCGGCACTTTTAAAAGAAGCAGGAAAAGTCTAAAGTATTACATGTGTTTGGCGTGTATTTCGTTTCAATTTGTTTTCTCATTTTGTTTTGCTTTGTTGATCAGTAACTCCAAAGCAGAAATTATTAAAATCCTTGATAGGTAGTCGGCAATGCAGAATACTTCTCCCACTGGTGTGAGTGTGATGGTTGTAGGCGGGGGGTGGGGGAAAGGGTCCTTTGCATCTGAGGCTACCCATTCTAGGAATGACTATAGCCCAGGGTTTCTGAACCTCAGCACTACTGCATTCTATGCTGGATCTATGCTGGATAATTCTTTGTTGGCAGAGGAGGGCTGCCCTGTGTGTTGTAGGATGTTTTGAAGTATCTCTGACCTCTACCCACTAGATGCTGGTCATAACTTTCAGTTGTGAAAATCAAAACTGTCTCCTGACATCACCAAATATCCCCCTAGGGGGCAAAATTGACCCCTGGCTGGGAAGTAGCAGCTGTAGTAGAGAGCACTGAGTCCAGAAACAGAAAATCTGTCTTCGGATCTCAGCTGTACGAGGTTCAGGCTATGTGATCTGTCAGGTGACACGGGGAGCCTTCCTTCTTTGCCTTTACAATGAGAACCATACTCTTACCTTCCAGGTTTACTGTAAGGATGAAAGCTGATAGATGATAAAAACCTGTCACAGAGTAAAAGTTCAGTAAATGCTGCTCACACCCTAGTTATGTGGCCTAGAACTCTTTCCTGTCCATCTCTAAACCCAAGCCCCATGATCTATAAAATGGGAATAATAACCTTCTTCCTAGAATTCTTACGAAGATCTAAAGAAATAATGAATGAGAGATGCCATCATAAAAGGGAAGAACGGTATAAAGTAAAGCACCATTTTTATTAGTTAGATGTGATGATAGCAAGGTAAAAGCCGAAATTATTCAAATTGCATGTGCCTATGGTGGTCTTCAGCATGGTTGTAAGGCTATATATTTTAACACACAGTCATAAAGTGAAAGCTCCTTCACAGATCTCTCGTTTTGTAGGACAGTAACCTGAGGCCCCGAGAGGAGAGTGATTTGCCAAGGTCACAGGGCAATTCAGAGATAGGCCTGAGCCACACTGGAGCAATCTCACTCCTCCAGAGTCAAAAGTCAATGGAGGGCACATACAGTGGCCTCAAATGGGTTCCTGGAAATGTGTACAGAAAGATCTATGACAAACAGACCTTGGCTTATGGTCACAGGCTGCAGCTGAGGTCACCAGGCTGGTCATGTCAGGACTGGTTAGGCAGCCAGCCAAGGGCAGATGACCACTTACTGGAAGTTCAGAAAATCTGGCCCCATTGTTAGGAAGTGCATACAGAATGGGTTTCTCTGTGGCCCTAGTTAAAGATGACTCAATTTCAGGGAAGGTCAGGACCATTGGGCAACGTCCCAGTGACCTTCCAGTGGGGCTCAGCACTCAGTCCCTGGTCTCTCACTCCTCAATCCCAGACCCCTCAGGAAGAGGAAAGGGAGCACTCCTTGGGAAGGGCAGGTGGGGACTGAAAGAAAGGAAGAGGGGTGGAGAAAAAGAATCTTCGAGCTCAAAAAGGTATTGGCCATGATCTTGTTCCCATTTTACAGGTAAAATTAGCAACATGATATAACACATAATAATATATGACATAGCATCATAACACAACATAATTCCCATAGTCACTCAATCTCAGTACCTGCCATAAATAAGCACTGCTAAGCTACCATGGGAATACGCAAGTGACTAAGACACTGTCTCCTCTCTGAGCATCAGGTTCCATATAATCCTTTGGCTGGCCTCCTTATCCATGGTCTGTCTGTCTGTCTCTCTTCCCAGCCCTTCAATTCATCCTTCATATATCTGTAGGCATCTTCTTTTTAAAATACAGCTCAGGACACCTGGGTGGCTCAGTCAGTTAAGTGTCCAACTCCTGCTCAGGCCATCATCTTGCAGTTCTTGAGTTCAAGCCCCACATTGGGCTCTGTGCTAACAGTTCAGAGCCTGGAGCCTGCTTCAGATTCTGTGTCTCCCTCGCTCTGTGCCACTCCCCCACTCATTCTCTCTCTCTCTCTCTCTCTCTGTATATATATATATATATATATGTATATATATATATATATATATATATATATATATATATATATATATCTGTCTCTCTCAAAAACAAATAAACAATAAAAAATAAATACAGTGTTGGCTCTGTCACCTCCCTGCTCCATAACCTACCAGCACTGTAATGCATCAGATCCAAACTTCTCAGGGGGCAAAATGTGTTGTGAAGAGTTTGTGAATGTTAGAATCTATGGGACAGAGCTCAAGCTGGGCCCTGCCATTGACCAGCTATGAGATTTGGCCAGCTTACTTAGCCTCTGTCAACCTGTTTCTTCAACTGTAATTCACTAAATCAACCTGTTTCTTCAACTGTCATTCATTAAATATCCACTACTTCTCCCTAGCTTTGTGATGTAATATTTTATTATCCCCACATGATAGACCAGGAAACTAGGGCTCAGAAAATGAAGTCACTTGTCCAAGGCTGTACACTGAAAAGGTGGCTGAGCCATGATCCAAATTATATCTTTCTCACCCCAAACCCATGCTCTCTTTCCCCAAAGACTGTATTCCGACTTCTCCAAATCATTAACATCAGACTTCCCCTTGGAAGCTTTGTTCAAGGCAAACACAAAGTTCACCTCTTGCCTGTGAAAGTTTATATATTGCTCCTGATATCAATCTTATACTTTTTGACCAAATGACTAATAGCTTGATGATAGCAATTTTCAGACCCTATGTGAATTACAGGTGCGTGAAAATGGTCCCTTACTTATTGGAGAAGAAATGAGATCAGGGTTAATCCATCTGACCTCTTTCTTCATAGAGAGCAGGGTGTTACAATAGATTTTTAGGTTCAACTGTTGGTATATATTTTAAGAAGAAAAATGTATCCATACCTGGGATTTTAAATATATGTAGAAAATGGGCAAGAGTCAAGAGAAGATGGGCAAAAAAGCAATAATAAAAGCCCAAAATACAACTCTTTTCTTAATGGACTACCCTTGTATATGAATAGAAAATAGTTTGACAACTGGTAGACCAATCCATTTCCTTTGTAGTTTGAATACAATTTTACTGCCTTCATGAAGATAATGATTTAACACAGGTTTCTCAACTTCCGCACTGTTGATGTTTGAAATCAGATATTTCTTTCTGGTGGGGGCTATCTGTACATTATGAGGTGTTTAGCAGCATTCCTGACCTCTGCACACTAGATGCCAGAGGCACCTTCTAGCTGTGACAACCAAAAATGTCCCCAGACACTGCCAAATTTCCCTTGGGGAGTAAACTCGCCCCAATGGTTGAGAACCATGGCTTTTTTTTTTTTTATTAAATATTTTTATTTATTTCTAGGAGAGAGAGACAGCATGAGCAGGGGAGGGTCAGAGAGAGAGGGAGATACAGACTCTGAAATAGGCTCCAGGCTCTGAGCTGGCAGTCAGCACAGAGCCCGACGCGGGGCTCGAACCCACGAACCGCGAGATCATGACCTAAGCGAAAGTCGGACGCTTAACCGACTAAGCCACCCAGGCGCCCCGTGAACCATGGCTTTTTTAAAAAAACGTTTTAAAATGTTTATTTATTTTTGAGAGAGAGAGAGCACAAGAGCTTGAGACTGGGGGAGGGGCAGAGAGAGAGGGAGACACAGAATCTGAGACAGACTCCAGGCTCGGAGCTGTTAGCACAGAGCCCAGTGCAGGGCTTGAACTCATGAACCACGAGATCATGACCTGAGCTGAAGTCAAATGCTTAACCAGCTGAGCCACCCAGGGGCCCAAGAACCATGGCTTTAAGGAAGGTACTAAGGTAGAGGAATGTGAAAAACTGGTTATAAAGTCCAAAGATCTGAGATCTAGGTACTGCAACATATGAGCTCTGTGACTGTAAATGGATCACTAGTTCCTTGGAGCCTCGGTTTCCTAATCTTTTCAATAGTGAGCCTCACTTCTGGACCAGAAGTTCATTATGATAAGGGGATGAGATCACTCTGAGCAAGGGAAGCAAATACAGCTTGGTACCACAGCTTGTTCTCATATAGCCTTTGAGCTAAGAATGGTTATTGCATTTGTAAAAGTTTGTAAAAAAGAAGAAGAATTTGAGAGATTGTATGTGGCCCACATAGCCTTAAACATTTACTGTCAGCTCCTTTATGGAAAAATGTTGCCAACCCTCAATTGAACAAATGTGATTTTAAAGTCTTTCTGTATAAATGCAAGTTCTTATTTTTTTAATGTGACCTAAGTCTGAAGAAATTCTGGGACTGCTAGTGTAAAACTAGGCTCTGCCCAGATATTAAGCTTCTGCTCCCAGCAGTCATGTGGCCTGGGCTTCAAGTCACACGCTCCCTGTAGTCAGCCAGCGGGGAGGCCACCAGATCAGTGTGCCGTTACATTTAATCTTGTTCTTTGATGGGCTCATAATAAGAAATATGAAATGATCTGGTCTGCTTCACTTTCATTCCTCATGGACGTAGAGTTTCTTCAAGTGCGAAAAGACTTACCTCAAAATCAATAATAACAGGATTATACTTTAATGACCTCCCCCAGAAACGGTATGTGATGATGCTCCTGTTTTGAGACAAGCCACCAGCCCAGCCAGAACTGCCACCTCGCACTCGAGGAATGACGTCTTCCACAGCCATGGCCTGCCTTCCTTCAACTGCCAGCAAGAAGACGATTGCATTAGTTCATTTTCCAAAAAGCCAAAAGACTGGTTGGCAAGCTCCACTGATAAGATTTGGGACAGTTTAGGTGCTCTCCTTACAGCTGTCTCCCATTCTTCTGCCTCACTCGGTGAATTAGCAGGACAACCAGAAGAGAAGGACCAAGACCTAGAACTAGACCCATCCTCTGAATTCTAGCAGACACTAGGAGGACAGACCAGACCAGCATGGCAGAGGGAAAGGATCGGGAAATGAGTGAGGATTCATTCATTCATATGCCACGTGTGTACTCAGTGCCTGCTACCTGCCAAGTAGGTTCAATTAAATATCATAGGTGCCATGACAGATGTCCCTATGGGATTCAGAAGGGGCATAGAGAAAGAGGCAGTTAGATCTACAGCAGGGGAGGGAGCATTGTCAGGACAAAAGGTGAGTTGTCCAGAAAAGTGAATGACCAGATAAGTGGAGAAAGGAGGGAAGGGCACCATGGAGAAGAAACTATTTAACTTGAGGCCCCTGAGGCATGAGCAGCCTAACACAGTGGGACTAACCTGGATCCCAGTACATGTGATGAGTGAATGAATGATTGCATGCATGCATGAGCACTCACTGACTTATTCAGGAAATGCCACAAAATATCCGTGTACAAGCTTTCTCCAATAATTGTTCTTTGAGCTTGGTAACTGTATCATCCTCTCTCGGCAGACTATAACCCAATGGGCTTTTATCTCAACAGTCAACTTTCCAGGTTCTGTCTGTCTGTACATTCCCTTCATCCCAGTTCTTACTTAGATCTTTGTCTAGCGCTTGAAATCTGGAAGTCACATATTTCTAAGATGATCTCAGCACATGGTTCATTCAAAATAGAGCCACAGCAGGTTATTGGTTTGGGGTTTTTAGCACCTATGAAGTGTGACCATTGGCTGAAATGGAACCAGTTGAAGGGGTAAATAGTGTCCATATCCTAAGTTTGCGTACGAGAAAAAATCTAGCTTCCCTTTTAGAGACCCGTTACTAAATACTTACCAGTATTGCCAGCTCCAGGTTTGTCACATTGTTGTCCTGATAAATGTCCTCCAACTGTTGTGCTGCCTGTGTAATCATACTCAATGCCCACAGAGCCTCCAAAGCATATCTGAATGTCTCTCCAGGTTATATCTATAATGGGGAGACAGAGAGACACATAATGCTGAGATGCTTAAAGACCGTGAATATGTAACAACCAGCTCACAGCAGGAAAAGCTAACTTTGGTTTTGGAGTCTAAGAGAGCTAAGGTGAAATCCCAATCCTCTAACCCAATTTCAGTGTTCTTTTCTATGTGGTTCGAACCCACATAAGTCTTGAAATGAGAAGGAATATGTATTGCACATCAAAGCTGCTCAAAAGTGCTGGTTCCCTTTCCTTGGCACATTTTCCATTGAGCCTCCTCAAGGCAGCGATTCTGTCTCATCCATCTCCATATACACGTGTGCCTCCTACAGTACCTGGCCTGTGTTTGGCACTGTTTTCATACTTTCCCTTTTTGTACTCATTGCCCCTTCCTCTCTCTTTCACCATCTTTCCAAAGTCTACTCTAGCTCCAGTTCAAATGTCATGTACTCCATGAAGCATATATGGGTCAGAATATTTCCCTCTTTCTTCAGAACTACCAACGTGTTTTGTTCAGGTATGAATGATCATATTTGCACAATTATTTTTTCCCAGGTCCTCCTTTACCCTGGAGAGGCCAGAGTGGCATTAGAAGATGGATAGATCTCCATGAGGAGTCGGCCTACCTTCTGACCCCACGAGAACTGTGAGTCCCACATTAGCTAACTCTGTATTTGTTTACATCTGAGGACCCAGGGAGGAATGTGAGTTTTGTAGACGAGGCACATAATTTTCAAAGCAGTAAAGTCATTTTGTCCCACTTCCTCAATCTGTACATGAACAGAGCTGAGTTTCCAATCCTTGGTCAGGTTGACAAGGTAAGGCTAGAAAAGTTGACTGGAGTAAGATACTGACCATTGCTACAGAGCCTAGCTTTGTCTGTGGCTAAATCTTTCTGAAGGTTGTGAACTGGAGTTTTTATTTTTGAAATATTATTTTTTTTAACTACAACGATACAATAATTATTACCAGTCATTGTATTTTTATGGCAACCACAAGCACAAGAGAAAAATAATTTAGGCCAGTCATTTGATTGAGCTAAGGGTTAGATTTAATATTTTTAAGGGGGTATCGAGCAATGAAATTACTTGCCTGCATCCCCATCAAGCTCTGTGAGGTCAAGGATTTGTGCCTTATTCACCCCTCTGTTGTCGGCATAGCAGCACAGTGTCTGCTGCTGCGGAGGAGGTACTCAATAACTATTTTCAGAATAAATGACTGATGAGTAAGGAAAGTGAGTGAATAAATAAATATGTGCTGTAGGTCCTTTGGTATGGGCTTCTGCCAGAAAGAATCGCAAAAGTCAGGAATCCTGAATTTAAATCTCAGTCACTTAGATAGGTGGATAGAGAAATTATGGCGTTTGTATAAATCTGTGTGTGACTATTATATGCATATGATTATCATATATGATATATATGATATTCCGCCTTTAAAAAGAAAGAGATCCCACCATTTGCAACAACATGGGTGAGCCTGGAGGACCAGGCACAAAAAGAGGAAAACTGCATGATCTCACTTATATGTGGACTCTAAAAAAGTCAAATAAATATATATAGAAGTAGAGAGGAGAGAAAGGCAGTTGCCGGGGGTGCAGAGGTGGGGGAAGATGCTGGTCAAAGAAAACAAAGTTGCAGTCCTGAAGGATGAATAGGTATAGAGTTCGGATGTGCAGCCTGAGGAATATAGTTAATCATAGCGTATGGAATACTGGAAATTTGGTGAAGAATGTAGATTTCAGGTGCTCTCATCACATACACACAGGAGAAGGTGGCTCAGTGAGGAGAAGATATGTTAATTAGCTTCACAGTAGTAATCATTTCACTTTGTATATCAAATCATCCTGTTGTATGCCTTAAATATGTACAAAAATTTTTTTAAGTAAAATGAAATGAAACCCAATCACAGGCACCCTGTGTGTGCTGAGAAAAGGCCCGTGGTGGCTGTGGGCCTCAGTTTCCCATTTATGGAGAGAAGGGATGGATTTGTCCATCTCAGGGGTGGGGGGTTGAGCTGCAGCCCCCTGCCTGTGTTTCTGAATCACTGCCACCGAGCTTCTCCTGCCTGGGAGGCACCAGCACCTCAGCACCAAGCACCGGGCTTCTTCTGCCACTTCTGTTCAAGCACTTTTAATTGTTAATGCATTTCTAATTGAGGAAGATTTAGCATATTTAATTGTTGTGATTAAAAAATGCTTCCCCAGTGATAAACAAAAGTGAGGGAAAGGAATTCACAGGCAGAAGCCAGAGTGATTACAAGGCGGGTACAGTGGATGGCTTACAGCGACAGGGCAGGCTGATTGGGGTGGGGGGAGGCTGGAGGCTGTCTGCAGAGCCCTTATGCTCAGGCAGGGTCTACCACAACCTGTCACGTGCTGCAGCGGAAAGAGAATTCCAGTTCGATTTGAGCAGCACTGCCTGACTGCAAAGATATGCCTTCTGGGGACACCACTGTAGGGAAGGCCTGTGACTTAATCATATGACGTGAGAGCTGAAAGCATCCTCAGACACGTAGCCACACTTCTCTATTCTGGTTGAGACGCCATCAGTTCATACAGGTTAATTACCTTGCCTAAGGTCCTACAGCTAAGAAATGGTGGAGCTGAGATTCAAACTCAAGTCAGGCTCACTTAGAAGCTGGCCGTATTTTCACTAATTCCAGTTATCTCATCAGATAAAGAATTCTGTTGTCAGAGAGACAAAGTAGACACCAACTGGGTACCACTCCCAGCACATTGTGTGTTGGGCAATGTAGGCTCTGTGAGCTAAAGTAATAGGAATAGAATGCCCATCTGGATAAGGTTTTGTCCTTGAGAAGCTGGCAGGTTTGGGACAATATACCACACAAAAGTGAGGGTGTCCCATGAGAGTGTGTTCTGATACACAAGGGTTAGGAGTGGAGTGTCTCATCAGAAGTTGTAGTGGTGCTCAATCAGAGCTGTCTATGGAGAGTCCATGAGAAACCAAAACCAGTAAGCTGGGGAGAAAGGGGGAACAGGGAAGGTCAAATGCAGTGCCAAAATCCAGGACCTGAACCCACTTGAAACTGGTATTGGAAGCCAAGACACAGAGCCAAAGATCTCTTGCTTCTGTCAAGCAAAGAGCAGAGAAGGGAGAGGGGAGAAGGAGCAGAAAAGGGCCTGGAATTGTGTGGCACTTGCCCAATGAGTGTGTGGCATGGGTGGACTGACTACACAGCTGACTCTTGAATAACATGGGTTTTGGGGCACTGACCCCCTCATGCAGTTGAAAATCCAAGTGTAACTTTGACTCCCCCCAAACTTAATTACTGATAGTGTACTGTTCACAGGAGGTCTTACAGTTAACATAAATAGTCGATAAACACGTATTTTGTATGTCATAATATATGTTACTTCATTCTTATAATGAAGTAAGCTAGAGAAGAGAAACTGTCGTGAAGAAAATCACAAGCAAGAAAAAATACATTTATAGTCTTGGATTATATTTATTGAAAAAACTCCACTTAGAAGTGGCCGCACACAGTTCAAATCCATGTTGTTCAAAGGTCAACTATACTTATAGAACCAAACAATGATCTGCCGTGGCTCCACCCATCCCATCAGGCTTGACTCCATAGATGTCCGCTTTGGACCACCAAACTGCCATTTGTTAGGGTTTTTGAACTTCAGGAAACACTGCAGTTGATGTTTCCCAAACTGGGCTACATAGTGAGATCATTTGGAGTGCATATTTAAAAGACAGATTCCTGCATCCCACCTGTATCAACTCTAATTCTGTATTTCTGAGTAATTAGCAATCTATAGTTGAAAAAATAAGCCAGGTGATTCCTATTCAGTGCATCTGGAAACAGATATTGAGTACCATGGTTTTACAGAGAACTCTGGTGGCCTGTCAGAGAGCACTGGCCTCTGCTCCGTCTCAGTCAGTGCCTTCATCAGTGTCTTGGATATAGACGTATTGGCCAAGTTCATCATATCTATCCAGAAGAAGTAAGTACGAAAAGCCAAGGATCATTCAGATAAAGAATCATGATCCAAAAAGCCCTCAGAAGGTTTGAAAGGATAGACAGACCAAACGTAGCAAAATGAGACTCATTTGGGAAAGCAGGGGAGAAAATACCATGCCGAAGCACAAAGGGCACAGCTTCAGAAAGCACGAGAAAAGGCTGTAGAGTTTTGATAACTTTCAGCTCAGGAGGACAGTGAAGCCAGGTGAAACCCCAGGTGAAAATTATAATCAATAAAGTATATGTGCTGCCGAAGCGAGCACAAATTATAATCAGTAAAGTAAGGGAGTGGATAATCTCATTTTCTCTGTGCAGCTTAAAGAAACCCAGAGCCTGGTACAAAGTTTTGGGGTCCACATTTTATAAAGGAAATAAGAAAATATGATATTCACTGAACATGACTCAGCCTTAAAAAAAAAAAAAAAGGAAATCCTACCATATGAAAGAACACAGGGGAACCTTGAGGACATTGTGCTAAATGAAATAATCACCGAAGAACCAATATGCATGATTCCACTTATATGAGGCATGTAAGATAGTCAAACTGCTAGAATCAGAGTGTAGAATTGTGGTTGGCAGGAGTTGGGAGGGGAGAAATGAGGCGTTTCTAATCAGTGGACCTAATGTCTCAATTATGTAGGTTCTAGAGATATGCTATACACCATTGTCTCTATAGTTAAGAAGACTGTATTCTCCACTTAAAATTTTGTTACTTGGTTAAAAGAGTAGAGCTCCTGTTAAGTGTTCTTACCATAATAAAACTAAAAAAGAGAAAAAAGGCAATAGGGAGTATCCTCTGGGAATGTTTGAGGGGATGCGGGATGTTGACCTGAACAGGAGAGGAAAGGTCTGATAGAAATCGATAGAGCTAGATTAGGCGCACTGGGAGGTTATCTTGCGGAAGAAGAAGTAAGCTTATTTGTGGGGTTGCAAAGGCAAGAACGAGGGCAAAAAGGGCAGAAGTTACAAGAGCACAGAGTTAAGTGAATCATAAGGTCAGTCATCATCACGGTCACAGACC